AACTTATCGGCCCAATTAAAGGAATATCCTCAAGAGTAAGATCGATCTTTTTCCTATCATGAATTTCTTATTATATTACAACAGTACGATGTGGTATTATATAACATAGTATAGATGGTTTATCGTTCACGTAAATTACATTGATCCTAAAGTATAACTTTTATTAATAATATTTAATGCCGGATATATCGATTCTTATAGAAAAAAAAAAAAAGAACTTCTTATCTGTTGATTCTTTGATATTAATTAATCCTATTTACCTTTAAATTAATTCTTTTAAAAGAGAGAAGAAGTAAAAATCGAAGATATTTGTTTGAATAATTTCAAAAGTTTCTAAATGAAGAAACATTTATTATTTTATATTTAACAATTATATTTGTAAAAAGAGAAAAAGAGAATGAAAAATAGAGCAATCCAATTATTACTTCACTTTATGCTTACACATTTAGTTTGGATCTCCATCCTGAGTTGCATCAATTTTGCATCGAATACGAACCGACCATGAATGTTAGGCTAACCAATCGTACAATTCGCTTCTAAATTATTATAATATTTTTCTAAAAAATCTATCCAACAACGTTTGGTTCAAATCAACCTACTTTCTGATTCTATTCGTAAAGCTATCAGAAGAACTGGCCGTGTTAGCAATGAATTACAATAATCATCCAGTATTGTTCAATGAACAACTTAAAAACATTAACAAAAGGAAAAGTTTATATATTAATAAAAAAAAAAAAAAAAATGTCTTCTCATTTAAGACAACTTGCCTTGAAGACTCATTTTCAGAATGACCGTTAGACTTAACGCAAAAATTTACATAATACCACACGATAAGATTTGCTCGTCAACGATCCTCCTTTCACATGGCTCGTCAATTACGATGCACGAGTTATGAATGGCCGCCTTGACGATCTAGAAAAAAAGAGTAAGAGTGAGGAAGAAAAAGAGAGAAAGAAAGAGAAAAAGCTAGAGAGAGAGAGAGAGAGAGAGAGAGAGAGCTCCTCTCGTACCTTTAACGCATCAACGGTTGCCGTCAACGGGCGTTCTCGCTTCGCTTAACTCGAGACGTAGTAATGATTCCGCAGGACAGAAGTAAATGTAGAAAGACCCGCCACCTTCTCTCGTGTCTCCGCCATTTCTCGTCGCGACAGACTCTATAACGTGACTGACTATGTATATGTACAAGAGAAAGTGTGAGAGAAAGAGAGAGAGAGAGAAAAACAGACAGAATGCGTCGCGTCGAAACACGTGCTTATCCCTCGACGAATTCTCAACAGAAATTTACGAGATAACTTTTTAAAAGTACGTCGCATTAATTGGAAGAAGGAGGTAAAAAAAAAAGTGTGTACAGAGGAAATTTGTTTACTCTAACAACATCGAAGACATCGGTTTGTCTCCTCATGTAATCGTACGGTTTCCTTTTCCATCCAAAATCACCTTATAGTACCATGTACATATATACAAACAAAGTTTTCACAGGTATACTATATACGTATATAACAACAGGGTTTAATATATATATGTGTATGAGTATATATGATATACGAGCATGACACTGACCCACTTGACTCTTCTTGATAGTCCTCGATCGATGAGTTCTCCGTACGTTGATTCATAGACGACATACGAGCTAACTTTTTCTACCCACCCTTCTACTATTCTTCTAGCGAACTTCCCTAAGCTCGATTACCTATAAGCATCGATAAAATAATATGCACCATAGAAAAGCCAACTAAATTATCAATTTCAAAATTGTTGACTATGTATATACGTTAAATTATATTATTCATAAGATCGACTGTTTTACATATTATTAAACGAAAGAGAATATACATGAGTTTAGATTTTATTCTCATTATCTCAGTAACCTTATATATATTTCTTCATTGTTCATTATCCTTTTATCTTCCATCATCAGGATAAATCGTCGTCTTTTACTTATCTTCTGACTTTTAACTCAAAAAAAAAAAAAAAAAACGGTGGATCGAAGTTATCTTGAGTTTCGCGAGCAAAGAAGAGATCTTCATCATCATTATGAGAAAAATCAACAACGTGTACGAGGACAGGTATGATAAGACAATCCATCATAGACAAGAAGAGAGAAAAAGAAATAAAAAGAAAGAGAAAGAGGGACAAAAAATAGGAAGATAGCAAGCTCGTATAGGAAAACGATCGCGCTTGAAGATCCATTTTCCATAAAAATGGAGTGTCGAGACACGTTCTTGGATTATCAGCGATCCCATCCAACGTAATCATCGATAAAACTAATATTATCTAAAATTACAATGCGATATCTACTGGCTGACGAATAGGAAAGAAGAAAAGTGTTAAGGGAACTCATTTGATTGTGAGTGGAGAGACGCGAATAACGCGCGTTTACCGAGGGGAAAACTCGATAGAAAATGGTAAACCCGGATACGATCCTGTCGTGTTACGACACCAATGCGTTTCCTACCGCGATATACATACGGGAGATGCGCGTTCTCCAGCACACTTTTGCACCATGATACTTCCCATCGCCTCCACGCATTAATCACGGTAAAAGCCGTAATCCACCGGCGCCAGTCCGTATCTTGCCTTAGTTAATGGAAATATGAGAGGTGTTACTTTCGTCTCGTGACATCTATTTCTTTTTTTTTTTCTTTCTTCTTTTTTTTTTTTTTCGTCACCTCTTACACTTTTCCTTCTTTCGTTTTACCTTTCTTTTTGATTCGTAGAAAAACCGCTGTAACATTACATCGGCAGTAAATTGTTGACATAGGTATGTGTATATGAAAAAATAATCTGACAATTTTATATACCATTTTGATGTATAACGTGATCAAAACTATACAATTAAATCGATTATTATAATAAGGAAAAAGTAATAAAATAATCGTAAAGATTAATCATCTAGTGTGTCGTTATTTTTCTAGATTTGTTTAATCATTTGAGAGAAGTATAAATAAATCTGTATAAAATGAAAAGATATTTGTTCGCGTGTTATACATAAAACTCTCGTTACATACTTTTCAAGATGCTGATTGCAAAAAGTGCGTTCTCCGCCGGCTTGCAGTAGGGAAAATTGTGATTTGTGCGAACAACGCATTGTTCCCGTGTGCTTCTGACGAAAAGGGAATTGTGAGTGTAATGAGTTATGGTGTCGTTCCTAGTTAATTCGAATATATGGTCGAGTGGAACGAGCAATCGGCGTAACGCCAGCGTGGACAGTTACATTGCATTCCGAATGGAAAAGTAAAATGATCGAAGGGAATCATTTTTCTATATATCAATGACATTGGCAGCGTATTTTCGTTCTCCTTTTTTCTTTTTTTTTTTATCACTAAAATCGAAATAGTAAAGCCCATGTGATATTTATAACTTTAAAAAAAACAAAACAAAAAAATCTCTCATTTGAATTTTTCGTTATACTATCGACAACATAAAGAGTAACACTGACCCGCTATGAACAAACAAATTATCGTTAAGCAATTTAACCGCAACTTTTTACCGAGTTCCAGGTGAGCCAAGCGTGTTCCATCATGGCGCAAACTAGTTTTCAAAGAACGAAGCGCGGTCTCTGTGTGACGGCAAGGGCCTCTAGGGCCTCTGCGTACTCGTTGAACCGACCCTCAGTAGGTGCACTTTTGGCGTAGCAAGCAACCCCTACGGCAGCGACCATGCTTCAAGCCTCGAGTACTCGCCGAGACGGACAGGGGTGAAAGCAGATATATACCTAACGTGTCACGACAACCTACGCGTAAGATGAAATTTCAAATATTCCTATGAGATCCGTTAAAACCCCTTAACAAACGAGATCATCTTCGAAAAATAATGTCCTCTATTGAAAATCATTGATAAAATGTGAAAACTTTGTTTCCAACGGATTAATTATTCATTAAAGAATGATTTCTCTTTATTTAGATATTTTTAAACATTTTCAATATATCCAGAGACATTTCAAGACGAGTTAATAAAGAAATTTGAGAACCCTCTAATACACGACAAAAACTAATCCTAAGTGTCACCAACAGTATATTTTGATTACCGGAATGAAACATAAACTCGTTTAAAAGACTCATTCGATTTTACGCACCAACGATTTCAAAGAGAGAAAATTCAAAGGTCTTAATTTGAAAAGTCAATCCGACTCTTGACCGTGAAACTCCGACGAAGCTAATTTTATTTCATTGTTAGTCCTGCTCCTGTTATAAGTAGGTATTCTTCACCACAATCTTACAATCTTTACAACTAAAATATAATACGCTTCCTTGTTTAAAGGTTTTACGAGTCACTGAAAGTAACGCTCAGTTAATACAACTTTTTGAACTTGAAATGTCACATCAAAAGTATGCATTCGAATCTAAAAAAACCCACATGGGAATCTTTTTTTTTTATAATTATATTTCTTCCTTTATATTATACGTATTTTCTTCTTATGATGGAAGGTAGAAAGTACCAAGCGTTTTGTCTAAAAGACGGGCAATTAAAAAATTAGAGTGCAAATTAGTCGAGATTACAGCTCATTAGTTTTCATCCACCACCTTGTAATGGTGACAGAGAAGGGCGAGGAATTATACATGTATATATCTATATCTATATATATATATACATAATACTGAATACGAGTGAATACCTGAATGCAGTTATCTATAGACGTTATGTCAGTCCAGATGAAGCTGAGAAGCGAGTGCCTGTGTTTACGACAGTACGCTAATTGGCTGCGAAAACGGTTTCCATCGTAGAATGCTAAATATTTCAATAAAATAGATAATAACAATTATGGACTATAAGATTAATATTCATGTGTTTTATACAAAAAAAAAGTAACAATTACAACACGTTTGTTTAAATAAAGAGAAAAAAAAAGAAATATTTCATAATTTGTAATTCTGAAAAAAAAAGAAATAAATTTATCGATCTTTACCAATTACTTGTGTAGAAATCGATCTAAACAATAAATTTATTAAACTAACTTCAATCTCAATTTGATAGATATTTAAATATCTACAATTATTTTCCAACAACAAAAAATCTAATGAATCTTAATATTCATCGATATATAAAAACGGTAACAAAAAAAATACCTAAATTGTTGTTACATTTTTAACAATTTGTATTAATATAAATATGTATATGTATATTATAGGCATTCAATTATGCTGACAAGAATAATGAAGGATCTTTAACAAAACATCAATATAAAATAGCAATGACGGCATTGTTTGGTTACTGCCCTGATAAAGTTAAATAAGTAAAATTATAATTTTTTTTTTTTCTGTTAATTAACAAATTTACATTATTATTACAGCTGGAGATAAATTATATTTTTCGCTCTTCTTCACACAAAAAGATCTCATTCAAAGAGTTCGAATATTGGGTCGTTAAAAAATATCCAATTAATCAATTGACAATTAGTTTAGAAACTATATTTGGATTAATAGATAGTGATAGTAAGTATTACAAATAATATAAAACTTTAAATTGTTGTTCCCATTTTGAAAAATAATATATTTATATGTCTGCTGTAGATAAAGGATATTTAACGATGATAGATTTATGGAAAACTAGTGAAACTATTGATATGAGAATATCACCATTAGTATGGTATAAAACGTTTAAGGAATTAGATCAGTACCAAAAAGGATATATTGATTTAACTGATTTCACATTCATTTTTACTAATATCAAAAATAATATCAATCTTATATAGTAACAAATAATAAATGATTTATAATGCATTCAACAACGTCACATGACGCTAATATTTGATCTAGCATTTTATATAAATTATTTATACGCATCAGTTTTCAATACTAAAACAACAACAAGTGCCATTTCTCGCTATATCATTCTTATCATCTCTTATTCAGACTTATATATATATAAAAATATAATTATCTTACATTAACAATAACATTATATCTTACGCATTATTATATCTACATGCGATCGTTATTTAATACTATGAAAATAAACGTATATACAAACATGAGTATATTCTATGATGTAAAATCTAACAAAGTATTAATATTAACCCTTTGCTTACGAAACTTGGTCGAAAAAGGACCCAGACCTTTTTTGCAACTTGACTCATTTTTCTCAATTGTACTCAACTTTGGTAATGTTTTAAACATATTTAAATTTAATTTAAAACTATAAAACCTATATAGCCTTTTTAAGTAATTATTAAAGAAGTCTCAAAAAAATGTTGAAATAAATCTATGCAATAGTTTCTTTTTTATAACGATTTTTCTCGCCCGGGTGTGGTAAGCGTGTTACTCTAAGAAGGGTGGTAAGCAAAGGTTAAAAGATACTAAATCAAATGAAATTTATTCTTTATCTGAAAATTCTTGATTAGCTAAATTATAGAAATACGAATCTGAATTTTGTATTAGTAAATTTGGTTCATCAAATTCTAGTACTTCTCCATCGCCCATCACTAATACCCTAAAAAAAAAAACAATAAAAGACCAACAATTAGATACACAAATTTGTTATTAAATATTCAAATAGTTCAATTATTTTATACCTATCACAATGCATAATTGTTCTTATTCTATGAGCTATTGTAATGACAGTGGCACTTCGAAAAGAAGACTTTATTGTTGTTTGGATAAATTTATCCGTTTCTTGATCGACATTGGCAGTTGCTTCGTCTATACAAACTATCTGTAAAAATATAAATGTATTTTTTTTTTTAAAACATACGTATCATTAGAAATAATCTCTCTCATATACCTTTTGATATATTAATATTAACTTAAATATACCTTAGCATTATGTAGAATAGCTCTAACTAAACATAACAATTGTCTCTGGCCTGCACTCAAATTTCTACCACCTTCGTCTAATTGAGCACCTAAACCTCCTAAACGATAAATTAATGAATGAACCTTACATTTCTCTAGAGCTTTATATATATGTAAATCTGGATATTGATTTAATGGATCAACATTTTCTCGAATAGTCCCTGAGAAAAGGAACGGACGTTGAGGTATTATAGCTAGTCGAGACCTAGAATTACATTTATAATAATTTTTTATAAATCTATTTGTATAAACAAGTATTATATATAATGTGCTACATTTAAAAAAAAACAAACAAACAAACTTTTACCTTAATGCATTCAATTGCAAAGTTCGAATATTAACGTTATCTATTAATATGCTTCCTGAGCTTATTTCTACTAATCTAAATAAAGAGGTAAAAATAGAAGTTTTTCCAGCACCGGTACGTCCTACGATACCAATTTTCTCAGCTGGCCGAGTAATAAATGATACTTCTTTCAATGATGGTATTAAATGCTCTCTGCAAAAAAAAAAAAGAACCTTCAATTAGAATTAGAATTCAAATGATATTATAATAATAATTACATTTTAAATACTTGCCTATATTTTAGAACAACATTACTGAACTCTACAACACCTTGACTTGGCCAAGCAAATGGTGGACTATCTCCACCTATAGTTTCTACTGGAATATTATCCAAATACTGTTTTACTCGCTCGACCGCGATCAATTCTCTTTCTGTTTCAGTAAATGCATTTACTACACCAGATAATAAACTTGTTATAGATAAAGCATATGTAATAGCTAGACCTATTAAACCTGGATCTGCTATATCATACTGATGCTGTAAAACAGCTATAATGCTGACACCAGCTAAAAGTGCCACTCCTATAAATTGTAATCTAAGAGATAGCCATTGGCTAGCTGAAATTGATGCAAATTGTGTTTTTTGACTAGCTTCCAACAAAAGTTCATTTTCTTGTACAAACCGAGATACAGCTCGAAAGGCCCTAATACTACTAAGTCCACACAACGTTTCGTTGAAATGAGCATAAAGAGGTGAAAGAGCTGTACTGGATAGACGTTTTAACTCTCTGGACGTTAATCTAAATTTAAATTAAATTTATAATATAAATCAATCACACACATAACAACATTAAAAATAACTTTTTGTGATGGTTAATAGTAATCAAATTTTCAAGCATAATACCTATAATGATTCTGTATCCAATGATAAACTGGGACAAGTGGAGCCAAAATTAAAAATATCCATGGTAACCCATAGGATGTTACAATGATTGTAGCAATTAAACCAAACAATTGTGCAAATAAAATATTTGTAATAAATGGTAAAGTATCATCAATTGTATATGTGTCCGATGAAAATCTGTTTATAATTCTTCCCAATGGTTGAGCATCAAAAAACATACTTTTAGCCTAAAATTATATCATAAAAGTTATTTATATATCATAAATAATATAATTATTATTCACACGAGAATTGTAATGTTCTCAATACCTTTATCACAGTTTTTAACAGTTGTTTATGAAGAAAAGTAGCTGCTTGAATTCCACCATATGCAAATATAAATGCTCTTATCAATGTAAAAACTGAATTAAATAAGGCTAAGAGACTATATACAGTTAAGTAATAATTATTATCTTGTACTGTAGAATTGTTGATGTAATATCTTAATTTTGCTGATAATGGCTTAATAGTTGAATTGAACGATGATATATTAGTATGTGTAACCCAATAAGATAACCATAAATCTGTCATATTTTTGGAACTTTGCATTAATATCATAGAAATCAATATAGACATTGCTAAATAACGTCCCACAGCTGCAATATATGATGTATATACTCTTAACTTTAAATTTCCTTTCTCTGTATATTCTTCATTATATGCAGCATCTTCTTCTGAATTTACAAGTTGATTTAATTCATTTGATGACATTTTTTTAAATTTATTATTCAAACTAGTTCCAAATGATTCAGAAGACAACAAATAATCTTCTACATCAGGTATAACGTCACTCGGTTTTCCCGTCTTGATAATTTTTCCATTTAACATTTCTATGACTATATCTGCATATATCAAATATTGAGTTTGATGTGTACATAATATTCTCGTTTTACTTTTTAATAAACCTAAAATAACATGTTGGAAAACATGAGCGGCTACATTTGTATCTAATGTTGCTAAAACGTCATCTAATAAATATATATCTTTATCTGCATATACAGCTCGAGCCAAAGATATTCTAGTTTTTTGTCCACCGCTTAATGTGTTTCCTGCCTCACCTACGGCAGTTAAATCTCTTTTTGGCAATGAATTGATATCATCAAGAAGAGCGCATGCTTCCAATATACTCCTATATAATATAAAAATATATTAATTAATAATTTATAATATATATATATATATATATATATAAAAATAATCAAGTAGAATTGTTTAAAAGAGTACTTACTTATACTTATTATAATCATAAGATTTTCCAAAAAGTATATTATCTCGAATAGTACCACACTGTAACCAAGGATTTTGCTTTACATATCCAAAGCCTTTGTTTATATCGCTTAATGCAATAGTACCATGAACTTTAGTTATTTCTGCTAAAATAGCATCAAGCAATAATGATTTTCCACTGCCTACTTCACCCATAATTCCAATTAACTGTCCCTGCATAAATCGATTATGATTTGTTGAAAGAAAATCTATATATATATATATATATATATATAAACATTAATTACCTTTTGTACTGTAATATTAATGTCTCGCAAATTGAAGATATTGTTATCTTCAAAAGTAACATTCTTTTTAGACTCTGCATTAGAACAAGAAGGTTTCGTTACATCTTTAACATTCGAAAGCTCGACACTATCGTTATTTTGACCAATCACAGTTGTCACATTTTTAAACATAATCTCAATTCCCGGTGGACTTTCCATGTAATATGAACATATATTCATATCTGGTAACTACATAACATAAAATAGATTTCATTAATAATTTGATTATTAATGAATTGAAAAAATTTAAAGAAATTTGAGATATATTTGAGAAGTATACGCACATTTAGCATTCTTTGAACTCTCTTGACTGAAACCCATGCTTCTGTAAGACCATTTAATACCCATGGAAATGCGTTCAGTGGACCAATTAACATATTTAATAATGCCATGCTAGTGAAGACTATTTTAGCATTAAGTTCATTTCCAAGTAGTACATATGTCGCAAAAGTTAAAATTGATATCAAAACAGGTGTTGTTGCCCAAAAGTATACACACAAGGCATCTAAATATTTTCTTCCGCTTAAATATTTTATTTCTTTCTCTCGTAATTCTAAAAAAGAAATCCTAAATAAAAAAAATGGTTCAATATTATCTTAGCATATTAATTGATACGATATACTAACTAAAAATGTTCCTTAAAAAGTGTTCTTCCCATACATTCAATTTTATCGTAGTAATACCACGTAATGCTTCACCCATAATTCTAACTCTTTTATCTTTATATTCCATCAATTTTGTACTAAGTACACCAATTTTATTCGCTATTATTTTGTTTATTGGTATAAGTATAATTGCAAAAGTAACTCCAGCTAGGAATGAAATTCCTATTTGTTGATAGAGAAGATATAATGTCACGATTAACTAAAAAAAAATTAATATAAAAATTTAATTTATATTGATATAATTTAACATATATATGTATAAAAATTAAAAAAAAAAATTTACCTCCAATGGTATACTCCAAAATGTATGAAAACTTGGACAACTGTTAACAAGCCGATCATTATCTGTGGTCATAAAATTAACGATTTCACCAAAATTAAATTGCTGTTGTAAATGAACATTAGAAGAGTACAATGTTTTTCTATAAATCAACGTAACAATTGTTGATCGTATTTTCAAACCAACAAGGGACATCCAAAATGTAAAATGTGCATTACAGAAAGCACCTGTAAAATAACGTATCATGTATTAATTATCTATAAAAATGAAAATAAGACCAAAAAAAAAAAAAAAATCTCTTACCTATTAAAGCACTAACGATTATCAAAGATGCATATAAATATCCATATGAAATAGGTTCATTTTTGTCTTCAATGAAACTTATTAATTTATTTAGTAATATAGGTCCCATAAATGAAGAGCAATCTGCAATGAACTTTAATATTCCAACTGCATAAAATTGCCATCCAAAACATTTATGTAAAAGACTTAATAATGTTAATTTATTTTGTATAACATTCGTATCCTGTTGTAATATTCTTTCATTAGCAATTGTATCCTCTGCACCATTGGTCAAAGTTTCAACCTGAAGTATATTTTAATTTCATAAAATATAACAAAAAAATAAC